GAGCCAAGTCTCTGCATGATTTATAAAACTGAGGTTAGTAAATACTGTTACCAGCAGGTTTCCAACAGCCTATCTAAACGGCAGCTATATAAAAACAGTGCTCGTCGATGACTTCACCGTTTTGACAGCCACTGAAAACACCACAACAGCCTTCTGTCCACTTCAAAAGTCAGTGGGAAAAGTAGAGAACTGAGCAAAGAATTTAGATCTTAAACTTTCATTCACTTTTTCATCCTTCCAGACGACAGTATAGGGCTGTATAGAGAAGCATGTGAATCACAGCCTTTTAAGGCCAAAGATGAAATTTGTCATCTCAGAGCACAAAAGAGACAATATTGTAAAGGACAGGTGTTGCTCATGCAGGTTGATCTCTCATCCGGCCTGCCTTGTTTACTCAGAGGGAAAGGTGACACCAACTGACACCAAAATGTTTGGGACCTTGCTACAAAAGCTGCCAGATCAGAAAAGCAATGTTCTGTCTGTCTGCCCTGTAATAACTGTTTCCAGATTAATTCCCTTGTCCTAGCAAAAACTACAGCCAATTTCCTCCTCTACGCACTTGTCAGTCTAAAATCATTGGCATACTAGAATGACAGCCTTAGTCAGGCTGTCCAACATTCTGGGATAACAGAGACATTACTACCAACTACTGTCATACATAAGCTCAGTCATATCAGTCTAAAACTAAAACACACAAAAACTCACTGGAACAGTGTATTTTCTCTAACCCACACAAAGAAATAATACTCCTAATGTTAGAAAATCAATTAATATTATAGCTCTACCCAAGTATTTTCATTTTGGGAGGGGGGAATTTGGAGCTATGTGAGACATAAGGCTCACCTGGCAGCCAAAATCAAAAGAAGAAATCCAATTCAATCAAAAGGTATACACAGACTCGCTGTAGTGAAAACAAACATTTAATGGAAGATACATTGGAGCAAGTACAAAAACATGAATGCTAGACTACATTAGAGAAAGTATGCCTTTTACGAAATACGCCAAAGTCTCATGGGTAAACCTGTGAAACAAATAGGATTACAAATAACACATGTAACAGTGAGAAGCATCCCAGTAGACAGTACAAAGTCCTTACTTAATCTGAAAAGCTTAAGCTGAGACGTTTATTTTAAGAAGAAAAAATATCAAGAAAAAGTATAAACCATTTTTGCAAGAGAAACTTTGACATAACATGCAAATATAAAATAGTATATAATGACATGCAAAACTCTCAAACCAGAACTCTGCTTTAACTGTCTATTTTTGTCCGGTAAGTCCCAGAATAATCTCCAAAAAGAACAGTCACAACCAAAAGACTTTTTGCTTTAAATACTCAGAAATCAGTATCCTTCCAATATTTTAGTAGGTAAAGAAGCCACAAAAAAGGAGAGGATATACATTAGTTAGCTGCATATCCTTTACAGGACGATGCAGGACCAACCCCAACATTTTTTGCCTGTTGTGGTTTTTTTAGGCAAGTTTATGTCCAGTAGTTTGCCACTGGGCGGTCAGCTTCTCGATACCACTGTTGAAACCAACACAAGGCCCGCCGCTGGGATCGAACCCAGCAATACGAAGCACATTTAATATCGGCATGAGAAGCTTGCAGGGGGTAAAGCAAAATATTAAAATAGTAAAGGGCAAATGATAAATAGCGTGATCGCTTGGTCACACACAAAAAGTAGGACAAGACCACAACCTAATCTGTGATTCTGCAGATAGTGTAGGATAGCGAACGATGATCGCCTATGCTTTTCAGCGTGGCACATGATAATGATGCTGATATTTCCACACACTCAAAAAAGGGGGTGGGGGGGTTGCACTGGCAATTTATTCTTACTGAAAAGGGTAGGGGGGGGGGGGGGGCAGCCAAAACATAGTTTGGGAAACACTGGTTTACAGTTATGAAATCATCTTCCACACTAAAATAAAAGCCCTGAAGTTCTGACTCCAGTCACCACCTTATTAACTACTGTTCACACAGTTCATGCCTAGGTTGAGGCCGCTCCTGACATCAGTTCCTAAAGCAGCAGAGATGTGGTCCAGTAGCATTCTCTTAGTTGTCTCCATTTCTAGACAGACGTATGATAATGCCTCATCTGCATCAATCTGCAGGAAGACAAAGGAAACAAATCTGATTTTTTGAGAAATGAAATAATTTTCTAAAGATATTTTTTATTAAATTATTTTTTAATACGTTGAGCTCCCCGTGTGGGTTCCGCGGCCCCATCGTGGGGAAAACAAAAATAGACCCATTGCCTCCTCAGCACACATGTCGTAAGAGTCAACTAACTGGGAGCTTCCTACAAAGCTAGAGTGCATCTGCCTGAGAGGCAAGGAACCAACAGTCTGTACACAAACAAGCAAGATCTGTAAAACAGATTCACACGCAAAACTCAGGTCCTGGAACGAAGCCAAAGACCAGAAATGGACCAACAACCAGGTCTTTCTGTCAGGGTTTACAGCTGGTGAACATAAACAAACAAACAACAACAATTAGTTAGTTAGTTTAGTTATCATCATTGCACTCTGGACATGTCTATAAGTGCTCAGATCCTCCCCTCAGTATGAACCCCAACGTCCGATGGCTAAAAGAACCAGTTCTATGTTGAATAACAAGTCTTCTGATGTGCCTGGTGTGTGTCTTGTTTTTTGCTATGCCGATCTTAACTTAAAAGTCTGTCATTCTGGCAAGTGATGTAGATTTACTGCCCCCAAAGTCCTCCACCCTTCCCATTTCTTAGAGGGCATTAATCATATCAGCATGATCAACTGGTTGACCATCGACAGCTGATCTAGCCAACCTATCAGCTCTTTCATTTCCATTTCTGCATTTCCGGAATGAAAATAAAGGCGACTCCCCGCAGTGGACTTTTGTAATAATGATTCAAGCCAATGCCTTCATTCAGAACCTGCCTGAACCCTCTTGACCACACTCATTGAATCACTAAGCACACATACATGGGTGTATTTTTGTGTTTCAAGCCACGCGAACGTTTGTGTTTCTGCCATAACCTCCATCGCCATGCTGCTGGTTGTCATGGAGAAGGCCCTGTTGGCTTCTTTGATTGTTCTGCCCGCTGAGCGTGCTGTGAAGGCCCATGCGCTTCTTTGTTGGTGAATGACAGATCCGTCTGCATAGATCAGTACATCTGCCTGAACTTGTCTCAGATAGTGCCATTTACTTTAATTTCTATGGGTGCAGGTTTCAGTCCTTGTCTTCTTCTAATTAAAAATGAAGAAATTAGAAGACAAAGACTGCAACTAGTCAAAGTTAACTGAACAGTGACAGATGAGATGTTCTGGCCACCTAACAAGAATGCCCTGATACCAACTGTTACATTGAGACATGCTGAAGAAATAAAATAAACACACAGAAAGGGGAAGATCACACAAAACAGGGAATGACAGTATCAAGAACAGCCTCAAAGAAGATTCCTACATCTTCCCCCAACACTTCGATGAGGTAACTGAAAGAAGAGAAGAAGTTAGAATGCTGGGATCTCATTCAAGAGACTTGGGTTCAAATCTTAATGGAGTGATGGAATTATTCGTTGTAAGCAAAAATAAATTCTTAACCTGCAGAGCCTGTATTGCAGGGCTATTCAACTAAGCTCACTCAGGGGCAAAAATGTATGTTGGTCGTCCCCATGGGATACAATTATTCGTTATTTGTAGCCCCACCCTGGCGTTTGCCGGGGGCCCTAAATATAGCAGGCCATAAATGTGGCCTATCCGCTGAAAGGGGTTTCTGGGAACTCTCCATGGCTGATCCTCATCCGCATGGTGGCATTTTTTGTCACCGGGTGTTTATCGCTTGTGTGATGTCCTGGTGGGGTACAAAAAGAGAGAGAGAGGCCAACATTTTCAAAATGGGAATCGTCAAGGGCCAGAATTTCGAGCCACAGCCTAGAAAGATCATTAAAACAATACAACCGCCAATGACCAGCGGGCCACTTGCCAGGCCTCCTCAGATCACATGTGGCCTTTGGGTCGCCAGTTGAATAGCCCTGCTGTAGTGATTGCTATGGCCTTACTGCTCTAAATTCTCAGATTAAAATTTATCTCCCCTGCTCCCCATCTCCTTAAAAAATTATATGATTAAGGCAGTAAAACATGGGGTGTTTTTCAAAATCAAACAATACAAAAAATATTTATAATTAATTTCTGCTAAATTATTTATTTATTTTGTGCCTGTGTATTTTCAACTGTAATTTCTCAGTTTCGGTAGCGAGATTCTAATACAAAGTACGGATATGATACAAGATTCTGAAACCCATTAGCTGAAATGAAATACTTTTCAATTTAGTTCACTAAGCTTACTATTGTCTAAACTAATTCTTCAAACAGTAAATTTTTTCTAAAACTATATTTAGACTATTCAAGAATATATCCAACTAAGGCATGGCTATTCAAATGGCAGCCCGTGGAGGCTTAGCAAGTGGACCGTGGTTCATTGCTAGTTCATCTGTATTAATGATCTTTCCATGTCCAGGTTTGAGCCTTAGGCTCATGAGCAGCCAAACTGATAAAAATGTTGCCCCTGAGTTAAGTCAGTTGAATAGTCCTGCACTAGGACATGGACATCAAGATTTTGCTACTGTCAGTACATCACTGTCATTTTTCCACTCTTTTTTCTAAGACAATTTATTTTTGAAAAATTGCCTATAATTCAAGTGAAAATTAAGCAATAATACCGGTCTTGTTTGTAAGATTAACTATATCTAGAGATGATAAAATGTAATTTAACCTACCAACACACTGCCCACACAATAGAAATGCTAAGAAGTTAAGAAGTTGGACTTCATAGAGTGATGTTACTAGACAACAGAGTGAACAGAAGTCTGATCCACCAAAATTTCAGATGGTTTCAGGAAATATGCCAGTACTCTGGTTTGCCAAGGAGTAGTTGACTAAATGTCATCAATCAAATTGACAACTGGTTTTGTTATTGGTGCTTTCTGGTGCTTGATGGTTATAAAACATTCAATTTCACTTACTGTGACTACCAAATATCCCAGAGCTTTTAGCTGCCTGATCTTGCAATGCAACAATCCCAGTGGCTGTCCATCATAACTGGTTTGGGTTCTGCTCATTAGTACCAAGACTAATCTGGGAGTAAACAACACAGAAAAGTTATAACAACACACTAATCCTGGTAATGGTGATTATCACCACCATCAACCCTTTATTCCCAGCGGAGCATCATCAACTAACTTGGTCTATTTTTTTGCTTTTGCATACAGTTCACCCCATGTCCTCCCCATCATTTGAACTGCATTCTCTAGCTCCCTTTTCTGTGTGATTTTGGTCTGCTTTTATTTCTTAGCCCTTGTGGGGTGGGTAATGGTAATATCAAAGAACAAATAGTGCCTAAATTTACAAATGAAGTAAAGAGTAAAGTAAATGTCCTTTTTTCACACCTCTGATACATACAGTGCTAGACCCAAATGCTATAGACCAACTGGCAATCAACAGTTGATTAGGTCAACATGACACTAGCTGCCTTTACTTCCAAGGCCATTTCCTGGTACCCACTGAAGACTTTGTAGTACTGTGAGCACTAGGGCGAAATTAAAATGTCCACCTCAATGCAGATTCAATCCCAAGATCTTTAGGCCAACAGACAAGAGTCTTGCCACTCTATTACCATAAATCCCCATATAAATTAAAGCAAATGGCACTATCTGAGACAAGTACAGAAGTTCAAACATCTGTACCCATGGATAAAAGTGGATGGACGATGTACTACAGAGATAAACAACATAATAGCACGCATTCAAAATTTCCTTTCATAAATTCACTCCATTTAATGTTAACAAATGCCCTTTGGTATTTGCTTTCCAATGCATTTAACTTTCACTGCATGTCTTTAGTTGTTAAATTTTCACTGGCATTTGTAAACAATAACTGAAATAACACTGGAATTGAGAATATATAACTTTGTTTTAAAGCTACAGTATATAATTCAGTTCTATATTTTGTTCAGGCTTTAAAAAAAAAAGCAGCTGTTACTTTGCCAAGGCATATAATTTATTTCTTTGTGCTTCTTTTTCTTTTCATTGGTTCAAGTGATGTAATTGCGTTGTGCCTGTTTAGAGCATAGCTGCAATATATGAGTCTTTCGGCTAACACATCTGAGTTCATTGGGCATTTTATTCACCAGTTTGCCTTCCCGGATTGTTTGTGTTTAACTGGCAATTAATATTTCTGCCTAAATAGGTAAACTGATTTGTTACCTTAGTTTTTTCTGTCTCTCCACCACGATTTTTCCTTCATCTGTTAATGATGTCTTTAATATTTTTTTTCATTTTTTTCACACTGCCAGTCACTACTGTCTGTATTTACCGCTTTTTAGGGCAATGTTGAAGGGGATCATGAGCCTGAGGATTTGGGGCCACATGGATAGCGCTGTCACCATGGACTATGCAGGTTGGGATGTTTAAATTTTTTTCCCCTACAGAAAAACTCCATCTCCTTACCAGGAATCAAATCCAGGTATCCTGCATGAGAACCTGATGCTGCAACCACTTGGCCAGCCAGTCCTGTCTTTTTGTAACTGATTTCAAATCTGACTTCAGATGCTATATTTGCTAAATCATCTGTAATGAAACAACACAGCTAAAATTGACCAAAGACTTACTGTTGTACAGATTTGTCATGATCTGTTCCAATGGTTTTTGATCCCAAAGGCTTGGTGACTGGCTTCACAAACTGCTGCTTGCTCATATCATATGCAAGTAAAATGTCTAAGGAGCACAAAAACAGACCAAAATTAATTATATAATTAAGAGCATAATATTTAATGAGGAATTCACTATCTTAAACATATTTTTCTGCATAAGTCTGTGAACACTTTGTGAATATTTCATAATGTTAGACATATTTGTCAACATAAGTATTTGAACATTCTGTGAGAATTTCACAATTTCTAACATATTTGTCCATATATTTATTTACATATTTGTTGAGGATTTTGCCATCTTAGACATATTTGTCCATGTATTTATTTTATATATTTGATGAGGATTTCTCATTTTTAGACATATTTGTCCACGTCCTTATTTACATATTTAATGATGATTTCACAATCTTAGACATATTTGTTTATGTATTTTATTCACATATTTGATAAGGATTTCACATTCTTAGACATATTTGTCAATTTAATTATTCACAAATTTTGTGAGGGTTTCACATTCTTGGACCTATTTATCCAAGTAAGTGCTTATTACACAAACATACCAAGAGTTCCAGGTTCTGCTAATCTGTGTAGTGCCTATTCAACCAAGATGATTCTGCCATGGATTTAGTATGCATATATGAAGGCAAGCAGTCATGACAAGATGGGCTGTTAGGTTTTTAAAGTGGTTAAGCAAGACAGGAATCAGATCAGATCATATCTTAAAGGTCTTCTTCTTCTTCACTTCCTCTTTTACCGCTGTGGGTGTCGAGGGAGATATAAGGTTCTGCTTCTAGCCCTTCTGGCCGCCTCGACCATAGGCACATCATGCTGTTGTAGAGTTTCTCTGATGTTATCCTTCCATGTTGTTCTTGGTCTACCTCGTGCTTTCGTCCTTCTTCCCTTTCCATGTATGCTTTGTATAGTATGGTGTCACAAGGCATTCTCTCTAAGTGGGCAAACCATTTCACTTGCTGTCTTCGTATGTAATGTAGAATTGGTTCTGTGCTGACTTTTTCTCCTATGATCTCATTCCTGATCTTATCTCTTATGGTCACTCCTACAGCCCTTCTCAGACATCTCATTTCCATGATTACTAATTTTATTTTATGGTTTGTGAGTGACCATGTCTGGCACTGGTAGCACAGAGTTGGAATAAATAAAGAGGGGGGCTAGCTGTCCTAATACTTGGTTTGCTTTATTGCATCTAATGTTAATTTCTTTATCCAATTTCCCATCTTCGGTAAATGTAGTTTCCAGATATTTAAACTCGGATGCCTGTTTAATGCCTTTGCACTCTATTGCTATGTTTAGATCTGTCTTCCTTTTTCCTATTTACATTACTTCTGTCTTTTCAGCCTAGGTCCTATGAGAGACTCTTTTAAAAGAAAACAGTATGACACCCCTGTGACCTAGACCACACTGAGAAATTGTGCAGATGGGCCGGGAAATGTGAATAGGACCAACTAGTCTAATCAATATGTAAGGGTATTTGTAAAACATCCAAAGACTGAAAGTCGTGTGAATCCACTGATTAAAAAAAAATACTTGATTAACTGACTGATCAACTCACCTGTAGTCTGACAATGTGGAAGCACAAACATGCATTCAACAAGATCTGCATTTAAGACACTGGTCAAGGCTGCAACAGCTGGCTTAACTGACTTCCTCAACTGGATGTCCATGTCAACACATTTAGCTGCCACCTTCTGGGCTACAACTGCTCGATCAGCCTGAAAACAAACATTTAAAACTCATTCACTCATAGTTATTGCTATTTCCTACACTTTACAGACACCTCTTCTTCATCTTACAATTATTATTTATCCTCTTTGCTTCAGAAGGCGCTAGACGCTTGCCCCGGATCGGAAGGTAGTGGATTCGCTCCCTGGTGGAGCCAGACTTTTTTTTTTTTTTTAAATGACCTTGGCTCCCAGGCTGACCCAGCCTTGAGTGGGTATCGGGTGCAGTCATGGAAAGTAAAGTCAGCCGGCGTGATGCTGACCACATCACCCATCTTGTGCCGATTAGTATATAAAATATAGGTCTAGTCCTATATGCCCTATACGCCTAAAGGCGTGGAAAAGGGTCTTTTACTTACTTACTCTTTTGCTTCTTTCCTCTTCTACTTCTTCTTCTGCCTTTTATCTCCAAAGAAGCACAGTTTCACAGAAAGAACCAAGAAAACACATCTCTGTAGATCTAGTATCTTTCTGCTATGAATATTTTGTGTTTTTCAAAGAGTACATTAATTATTATAAACAAATCCTTGCTATAAGAATCAACCAGAAATTCACCTCCTGGAATGCTTCAAAGGGTTAGATTCAATTTGAGGCAGTTACTGCATTTTGTAAAATTTATATTTTAATGACATTAACTCAACTGTGGCTCAGGCGTTGCGAACGCGCTTCAAAATGCCATGGTGCCAGGTGTGATCCCAGCTGCGAGCCTTGTGCCTTGCATTGGTTTCAACAATAGTATCAAGAAGCCAACCCTCCAGAAAGCAATGGCAAATTACTGGATATAAATTTGCCTAGAAAAACCACAACAGCCAAAAAATGCTGGAGCTAGTTCTGCAATGTCCTGTAAAGGATACACAACTAACTTTTTTTAACCACATGAACTGCATGGAGTTTAATGGTAAGCAAGCAGTAAGTAGGTAGAGGACCCTTTTTACATCTTTGGCACTCGATGGATGATGTGGTCAACATCATGCCACTGCCTTTACTTCCCAGGATTCATTTTAAGCTAAGTCGACCAGTCAGCCAATGTTAGTTTTGACAAAATCAGCACAACTAAAATTGTAACCACAGAACTTGGGGCTAAAAGCAAGTTTCTAGCCACTATCTGCTGCAGCCCTTGTTTAATGTACACAGAAGTAACTACATTCTTAAATATAACAACAAGAATCGTGTTGCATGGATCACCTAAATCACATGAAATGCTACAGCATAATTCTCAGAATACAGTGGACCAAAGAAAATCAATGAATCTTATGTGATCTGAACATCAAGGAGATTTGGCTCATAAACAGCATCCTGCCCTGACAGCTGAGGTATTTTAGCCATGTTTTCAGAAAATGAAGCAGAGGCTGACCTCCTTGATGGTGGATACAAGACAGTGAAGATGCACATAGTGCTGGAAAACTGGCAAGAAAGAGAGACTTTCAGGCGTACTGTGAAGACAGCGACGTTCTGTCAAGAACCTGCTGAGTGACAATGATGGATTACAGCAACTCCTTGCTGAGTAACTAAAAGATAGAATTATTTTAAAGAAAACTCACAGAACTCATACAAATTAAACACTTGGGATTCTTAACGTGTCCTGAAAGAGAATTAACTGCAATAACCCCTCGCTCTTATAGAAGTCGATAGATAAATTAAATGACCGCTAAGATATTCCAGTAAAATAATTTATAGACCTCAACAGCAGTGGTTCAGGTTCAATTCTCTGCTGAGGGAGAATGTTTATACATTATTAATGTTCTGAACTGATGATGCAAGAATTTGTCTAAAAAATAACTTCAATGTAGATCCACATTTTTTAAATACCTCAGTCAAACGGCAACCAGAATAGTCAGGGCACTCTATTGACAAGCTATTATCCAAAAACATCAGCTGGATAAACTTTTCTCGGTCTGGTGGCAAACCTGAAAATATAATGAAATCAAATGTTATTTATTGTATAGCCATCCAAGGTTAACTCTTTCAGTCCCAGACAGTTAGTGCATAAACACTTTGCTATCCTGAAGTCTGTGTATTTTAGAGTGAAAAAAAAAGGGGCGGGGGGGGGGGGGGGGGGGGGGAGAATCTACCACCATTTAACAAGCATGTAATAAAAGGTGACTGACTCAGAGGTTTAGGAAACATTATCGGTGACTGGGTCGCCCACTGGCTCACTGGTAGATGACTTTGTCGCTTGTCATGACAGTATTTGGGTCTGTCTCCTTTGATCGCATCACAGCCAACTTCAGCAGTAAGGCCAAACAGGTCTATGGAAATTCCCATTTTATTAGGCCGGTCTGTGCTCACCATTGTTATCGAGTAAATTTATACACAAATTAAACTAGTTTAATTAACGTGTAATACATTTTATTGAATTAATTATCATTATGAAGATAAATAAGTGAGCCATTGGAAACTTGAATAAAAAAATTATAAAATATTCAATAAAATATGTTGCAAGTTAATTAAACTGTAGTTTAATTTGTGTATAAATTTACTCGATAACAATGGGGAACACAGACCCGCCGTTTACCGGCCTAACAAAAAGGAAACTTTCCTGCCCTTTTATGTTGAAGTGGTCAGTGACACATAAGCCAATGAGTGCTGACTGGTCTATAAAACAAATTTGGGGCTAACATCATAAGCCTGCTGAGAAATATATACTGGGAAATGTCCTGGGAAGTAAAGGCAGACAGTGTGTAGTTGATCACATCATCCACTGAGTGCCAATCATCATCAATCAGCAGGACCTTTGCACAAAATCGCTTATCACGGAACACTTTTTACCTGGAAGTCTCTCCTTTTCTAGCCAATTCTCTAGCTCTATGCACAGTAAAAGCCTAATGCATCTTCAATGTCTTGTGCCCAGCTTCACTGAGCCTGGCCCTTGCCTAATTCTTTCAGAAGCTGTACTCACCATCACCGTTCTCTTCAGGCCACAAAATGTTTAACAAGGTCAAAGTATTTCAACAATAGGTCTTCATTTTCTTCACATTCACCAGCTGTAAACTCCAGCAGCATGTTCTGGTTGTTCATCCACATCTGGACTGCAGTCCTGTTCCAGACCCACTGCCTACCCAAACGCATGTCGTAAGAGTCGACTAATTGGGAGCTTCCTTCGAAGTCAGAGTGCATCTGCCAGAGAGGCATGGAACCAACAGTCTGCATAAAAATGAGTCAGCTCTGAAAAACAGATGTGCATGCAGCACTCAGGTTCTGGAACAGGACTTGAGTTTTTTTTTTAAACTGATGAACAAATATAATTTTCCGCAGGAGTTTAAAAAAGAAAACAAACTGAAAATTAGTTTTGACTTACCATAAAGGATTTTAAGAATAACAGGATCAAAAGCAACGTTGAACAGGTCATAGGGATATATATTCAACATGGCAAGACCCATCAGCAATTCAATCAAACTTTCTGGATAGTCTCTGACAGTCCTCACACTGATGTCTTTCCTCAGCTGCAACACTATGTCATGAATGCAAGCAATGTTCTCTTTTTGGTTGGTGACCAAATTTCCACAAGCCCATATTGTTTTAGCGATGTCTTTGGACCTACTGTGGTCGAACGTTTTCTGACAAGCCATGAGGATGTGGTGGAACAGCTGCGGGTGGGTAACGCTGACACATGCGTATGCAAAAGCAATATGCATAATATGGGTTTGTGACTTACATCTGTTCAGAAAGTTGGAATTGACAAGAATATCACCAAGCTTTTTGTAGAAACTAACGTTGATATAATTTGAATATCTAAACATTTTCATCAACATATGGAGATAACTTGGTTCTTGAAGTGATCTAAAGTTCTCGAGTAATTTCTTGGCAATTTTATCCACAAGAATAGGTGATTTTATCCTACTCTGGCATGTGAATAACAGCATACAAATGGCTGCTACAAGATTCACATCAAAGTCTGAAAGATTGTCACTCATTGTCTTTTCAATGGAATGAAATAATGATTGTGGAGCCGACCCATGATTGTTGATATGAAACATCAGACGTGTTAGCTGTAGTGGTGTGATCACCAGTGACTCAAACTGTTCATCAGCAAAAGTTATCATGGCGCTTGCATATGAAGGAACATGGACGTTCTGTAGATAGAACACATCTGCAACAGTCAGAATTTCCTCCAAGGTCATCAGGTCAAATCGTTGCCATAAAACAGCCAAAAAATTCATTGACTCCTTGTCAATTTTATGTATACTCCAGACCATTGACATCAGATCACCAGTACTGTGACTGTTATCAAGCTTTTGTTTCAAGGCTGCATTAAACAGAAGAAGAAAAAACAGGTCCATTTTAACATTACATGCTATGCTTGAAGACACATTCTGCATCACTTGGCCAATTATAAATTCACAAAAGCAAATCTATCATCAAAGAAAGCTGTGGTGATGTAGTGGCTAAATGCTCAGCTGCGGATTGGAAGTCAAGGGTTCAGATCCCGCAGAGCCACCTTTTATTTTCTTCTAAAAATGGCCACATCTCCAAGGTGACTGAGCCTTAAGTGGGTACCAGGTAAAGTCTTGGAAAGTAAAGGCAGCCGGTGTAATGCTGACCAAGTCACTTACCAGGTGCCAATTGATCTATAAAATATAGTTCTAGTCAAATATGCCCAGTATGTGTGAAGGTGAAGAAAAGGGTCCTTTACTATCAACCATCATAATTATCCTGTAGCAGGTCTTTGCAGAACACCGCTTTTCTCGCAGCATGCAAAAAAAAAAAAAAAAAAAAACACTTGGTCACTTGTCAACTTTCTCCTCTCAGGAATTTCAGGTCAGGGTGTCTTTTACATCCTGTGTCCACAGTTGTACTGGTCTTTTATTCCAGGAACCATATGTTCTATTACTGTGTTCTCTCAATCATAATATTTGATACGACTAAAATATTTATTCTTTGTCTTCACATTCACCGGTTGTAAACTCCGGCGGAAAGTTCTGGTTTGCTGTCCACTCCTGGAATTTGGTCTTGATCATGAGTTTTGCATGCACATCCATTTTACAAATATGGCATGTCTGTATGCAGTCTGCTAGTTTCTTGCCTCTTGGGGCAGATGCGCTCTGATTTTGTAGGAAACACCCATAACTAGTCACCTCCTGCGATATGCTTATGAGGGGGGGGGGGGGTGTGGAACAGTCGGTCTATTCCTTATTCTCCCAAATGCAGGCCCGGGAACTCGCATGGGTGGAAAATATTTGAGCTTTTTGTTTTCGAGAAAGTCTTGTTTATGAGCCAGTGCCCTTGATGTTAAGATCATGAAGAATGTCCAGTTTTTCCGCAACTTTGTCCATAATGGTCTAAGAATCTTCTTGTAATATTCAAGCTCAAAAGCCTCAATTCTCTTTGTTAGTTATACAGTTGTCAATAGTAACTATATATTTTTAACATTACTAAAGGAAACACCTTCAAAACAATTTGTACTGCAGCTATGAACAAGTTTTTGTTTCACTGCTACAGGATCTAAAAAAAAAATACGAGGGGGAAAAAAGATCAAATTTAAATCTAGACAATATGCTTGAACATTTATCTTTCTTTAATTTGACCAATCAATTACAAATGAAACAGGAATTTTAAAGACAGATCCATTTTAAAATATACTCTTTGCTTGAATATTGACCAATCAATTACAAATGATAAAACTTGATAACTCGCTGTGTTTTAGGGCCTCCTAACAAGCATGTCATAAAAGCCACCAAACCCATAAGGAATTCGCTGAAGTCAAATGTGCTGGGCCTAGCTGACAACCACAGCACAACATGCCAACTAACCAATTTAAGGGAGGGGAAAGAAAACAAAAACATGACGACAATTATCAATAGTCACTATATATTTTAAACATTACTATTAAAAATGTTTCCCCCTCGCCCATTCCCTCCCAAAAAAAAAACATACTCTTAACCAGCTGAGTCCAGAATTGACATCACAGCACTCAGTGAATTCCCATGTGTACTCCGCCCTCATCTTCAGCAGCCAGCGCAGAGTTCCAATACTGATGGTACCGGTCACAATCTTGTTATATGTCCGTCTTGCCTTTCCTTTGAGTGTAGTGAGCCGGCCAGGCCCTCTGGTTACACCCAGGTGCCTTGTTCTCTCCAGGCCATAATAATTTTCTTTCTCTACTGATTCCGTTGCTTGTTCCCAAAGGACCTTGACCACATCATACTCTCAATCAAAAACATAACAGCAAAACAAAAAAGAGTGCCAACATCACCATCATGTACCATACAGAATTACACTGACAATCAGCAGACAAACTGTAAGAAGATTCCTATGCACTTCAAATAATATTCATGATCATATTCAAAACCATAAACCTAACCTTGCTTATCAGGTGGTAGAACCACTGATTTCATAAGCTGCCTGTGCATCTTTTCAATCCATGGCCAACGTCTGTCATTCTGTTTCTGGTGGTAACTTTTCAAGCCAACTGCATTATATTTGTTATAATTTGGACTCCCTGAATCTTGATAGTGCTTTTGGTGAACATGATTTCTCAGCAGCAGACACAACTGAGAAGATGTGCATGATAAATTTTCCGGCAAGCGGCAAAATTGTGTGCAAGTCCAAATCTGTTTATACACTCTATGTGTAAACTGCAACAGAACCTTCTGATTCCTGAATGAAAACAAATAAGAAAAAATTGGTTTTAAATTAAATTCAAAGAATTCTATAATTTGTTTGTTCAAGAATGTATATTTTGTTAACTAAACAACAACAACAACAACAAAAATGTTTATGTATACTTATGTTAACTAAACAAAACAAAAAAACAAAAACAAAATGTTTATGTATACTTATAAACATGTTTACAAGCAGAGAGCATCTATCATAATGGATGTGTAAAATGTTTTTTTTTTTTTTTTTTCAGTTACAAAAAAAAACACATCCATGGTATTCTCACAAAAAGAATCTTTACTTTGTTTAAGAACAAAGTTTCAGTTACTTTTTTAAAAAAAACATTTTTTATAACTAAAAAAAAAAAATTGCACCTCTACTTATAAATGTGTAATAAGTATATAAAAAATGTTATATATTTTCATTTCTACTAATATATGTATGTAAGAATGAGAATGTATACTTTTGATTATTAAAACACACCCATATATCTCACCACCTTTTTCCGCACCTTGAGGCATACTGCTTATATGGTGGCCTGCCATATATTTTATAGACCGTCTGGTATTCCATAGGTGATGCGGTCAACATCATTCTGGTTAACCTTACTTTTCAGAACATTCCTGGTAAACATTTTGGCTGGCTTGACCTGAGAGCAGCAATGAGGATATGAACACATGACCACTGTGAAGGCTGGCAAATGTTCTAGACCTTGTGCTACAGCATCTCCCCAGAAGGCGGGAAGAAACATTATGTTGCAACATAAAAAATAAAAACAAATAAATAAGCTCTGGATTACACAAACCTGACGGACGCTGTACATATCATTATCATGCTTCTCTTTCAGCTTCAAGCTTAGCTAACACTGCATCTACCGTTAAGCCACAGCTCTTATCCAACAGTAACACTTTGGTTCGTGATTTGCACCCCTGTAATACAATAATAATAAAATACAAATCTAAAAACATTTGGTATGTAGTGGTTGAGGCCCTATGTTCAGTTGGGAGGGGAAATAGAGAAGACGAACAGACAGGAAAAGAGGAGGAGGAGGAGAAGGAAAAGAAGGAGAAGGAAAAGAATGAGGAGGAAAAGGAGAAGAAGATGAAGAAGGAAAAGAAGAAAAAGAAGAAGAAAATAGAAGAAAGTTTAAAGGTGAGAGGACTGACTTTACTGCACTGGGTTTTATCCCATATGGCAGTGGTCACCAACCTGGAAAAAAAGGGCAGGGGGGGGGGGGGGGGAGAACCACAAGGAGGTTTAAAGCAATTTTGAAATTGAGTATTTGTAATATTCCCCTACATGTCTTTTTTTTTAGTTTAACCATAAATAAAATATATTTTAAAACTATTTATAAAACAAAAAAACTAAGGGCATTTTTTTGTTTTCATAAGTAGTTTGTACATCTTCAGTTAAAAATCTATTAAAATGCAGGCATTTATAGAATAAGAATAATTCTGACCAAAACGTATCGCATACTGTCTGTTTTCCTTGTTGTGGAATCTGTTGTGCTCCTCTTTTTAATTATTCCCATTTTGTTGTGTTGGAAGGGGGGGGGGGGAGGCATGTGGGGGGGTCTTGCCATATACTCAAGGGGGTGTGGAGGTCTTGATTTATGCTCATTGCAGCAGGGGAGTCTAGCCATATACTCAAGGGGGCGCGACCTGAAAAAGGTTGGAGACCACTGCTCCTGGGTTGGTCTCTCTCTCCACCAAGAGCATCACACAAAGTACAAACTCTGTAGCTCCGACGATGATTCCCAAGGATCTCTATTTAAAACTGCACTCGTAAACGGAACAACAGTCATGAAACAAACACACAACCTTCTGAGCACGAGGTAAACAGCTTGACCACTTCGCCACAGAGACCTCCAAACTCTGGAAGGAAAGTTGAGCAGCAACAAGCCAAACAGACATGAAGGTAATGCACAAACATAATGCCACAGGTCAGACCTGATCTAAAGAGACATCCGACTTCCTAATGCCCAGTGTCTTGGCAATGTACTTGATCAGCTCAGTGTTCGCCTCACCCTCTACAGGTGGAGCTGCTATCTGCACACCCACGCCGTCTTCAGTCAGACCTGTGATATCAAAGATTAAAATGTTTATTTAACTGCAGTTTTCATGAACTCTCTATCTCTTTTATGTGTGTGTGTATGTTCAGGATGAAAGCTGAGAAGATCGACTTTATTGCCTGCTGTCTCCACAATGACCATATAACCGCTTCTGTCTTTGGGAATATTATGAGATGAGGCCTCAATATTTTTTCATAGTGACTCTGGTACCAATGTCTGAAAACCACGAGAACGGTGTCGTTTTAAATTTAACTTTTTGCTGCAGAAATCGAACCCCAGTGCCTCGAGGATCACAAAACTATTAAAACAGTCACTAACCTCTAAGCCACAGAGCAGCACAGTGAATACTACTAAGCTGAATAATGAAGACACAGACAACAGATTTGTAACGTCAACCTAACTGAAAACTGGTACTAGGAAATGGCCTAGATCAGTGATTCCCAAACTGTGTGCTGCAGCGCCCCGGGGAGCCGCGACCTCTTCACAGGGGCGCCACAAAATATTTGAAGATGAACAAGGTGTTTTTTTTAAATAATCTTTTACATGCGAATAGTCATACTTTTACTAAGGTTAGGGCGCCGCAGAAAGATTTTAATTGAAAAAGGCATGGCGACTAAGAAAAGTTTGGTAAACACTGGCCTTGATAGTAAGGGTAGTGGGTGTGATTGACCCCATCACCCATCAAGTCTATAAAATATGGTGATAGCACTACATGCGAAATGCATCTTCTTCTTTTGTTCTGTTGCTTATGCCGTATAGCATCGCATAGAGGAGGAAGTAAAAGAGACACTATAAAAACGCAAAGTGACATTAACACAAGCTATGCAACTAACAAAAGATAGGAAACCACATCTAACTTTTCTCTGTAACACTTTACAGCATAAGTAGTAGGACAAAAGAAGAAGATTTTACTAACCGGATATGCCATTTTGCTTGGCACCAGGTTTAGCCAAAACTTTTATTAATATGGAGTTATCAGCACGAATGGATACAGGCTTGTTTTCCTGTTTCTGTTTACTGTCTCTGGACGTATGCTCTGCTCCTTCACTTTGTGCTTTCTAAAGAGAGGGAAGGTATGAGAATGATTACGTCAGAGATTCTTGCTTCACAAAAATGATAGTTGAATTTTTTCTGTCCAAGATAATTTTACTGTCATGCATTTAAGGTGAGGGTTGCAAGAAAAGGAAAAACCTATGGAATACTTCTTCTGAGGTTGTCCTTGCTGCGATGTGGCTTACACCTAGGCTGTGATATTTGGGCCCTTGTTCGATTATATCTAATTTCAACAAACCCCTAACTAATTGCCGAATAAGACATTTTTCAGTTGAGTGTAAGTCTTATCTCCTCACATCCGCCCCCTTTTCACTTAATGGTGCTGCAGACTCCATACAGGAATGGAACATACAAATGTTTATGTGGTAGTATATTTTTCCTCTTGGTATTGTCAACTTATGTTTTATCCCAGCTAGTCTTCATTTGCCATGGTGAAACATGATAGTTAGTCATTCACCATGTGAGAAGCTCTTGGGCTTTCACAGCACAGGCTGGAGTTAAAATTGTGAAGCAAGATTCTGGTGCTGTTGCAGTGACCACAAGTAGTCTGACTATGAAGGTCATGGTAGTGACCAAAGCAATAACATGGCTGGAGACACAGACCCTTTCCTGTGCCTGCTTTCTCAATGACTCAATGAGTATGCTCAGAAGATAGAGAAAGGATGGATCTGAAGACAGTGGGTGGAGTCTCTAAAGTGGTCCGGGTTGACACATATTAGTTTCATATTTGTGCCAGGACACACAGGCGTGCAAGGAAATAAGCAGGCTGATCGGCTTGCAGGTAAAGCAACTGTGGCGGGTGGCAAGCCATGGACCATGCTGATATTCTGAATGCACTATGAGAATTAAAGACTTTTGCAAGAACCAGGTGATGACTGTGAATCTGCGACAATGACCAGAATGCAAGAACATGGGGTGTGGCCAGACAAGAACACTATGCAGGAAGCCAAAGAAGAATAAGACACCAACACAGAACTGGTGTTGTGAGCCGCTACACGCTGTGGGGTGTACTAAGGCAGGGATCTGAGCACTTATGGACTCAATGGTTCGATGTGCAGTGAGGATAATCTGTCGACTAACTAACTAACTAGCCTCAGGTCTGTTTGCAGGTTCCACTGTGGTTTGGTTTATAGCTAGGATGCAATGTCTGCGCCTTTTGGTCTAGTGCATTTGATTTTAGCTAACCCCTAATTAGTCGCCTTTTTTAACATGCTTGTTAACTCTTTGAGTCTCAGGAGGTTTAGCATCAGAGGCCCAAGAGGTGGTATTGAAATTCTGAAATGTCACAAGTGTTACACATTAAAACAGACCATACTAATTTAACTGTCGTGCAATATGTATATATATTATACATCAAAGTGACCAGGGATTGTAGAGGAATAATGTTAGAATATTGCTATAAAAATAAATTGTGTTAGTAGTTAATTATTAGAAAATAAACAGATGGTATGTTTAGAGAAGTTGGTAAAATGAAATTATAATAGTACCATGGAACTCAAGGAAAACTCAAAACAATATGTCCAAAATGAATCACAAATGAACAGGAACTTCTTAGTAATGTGTAAATAAAATATAAACAAAACCCGCCCATTAGATCTCATTCCAGAGAAACTTTAAGAACATCATAACAGAGCACCTTTTATTGGCAAAGGAAAATGACCTCCAAAAATAATAAGTATTTTTACAAAAAAATGAACTTTATATAACATTAAATTTTCCAGTAACTGTATTTGTTCCCAAATAATAAGGGAATTGCACCGGACCTGACTAATAGTGATGAATATTGCTTTTTTCACTAATATTTATTCTCTTTGTACCAGTTTGACTCTATCAATGAATGAAACAAGTCTTTCTTTGTCTAGTTTTGGATAAATCTGACAAACATTTGTTTTATTTAAATATGAGCCTTCTAAAGTCATGAATCGTGTTGGCATGCATGAAGTTTGCTCAGAGGCCATATTGTTTTCATAAAGACGCTTATAGCAACTCACAAACCTGTTACATTTTATGCTTTTAACCATGTTTTGAATATCCCAAATGGTCACCACTTGTGAATTCAAACACGAAAACGGGAAATACCATTTAAAATGTATGGTTTGCGTTATACTGACCAGTGGTCAATTAAAAACATTAGCGCATCGCACCCAGATTGGGCGGCTGTGTAGTAACCGATTAGCTCATGGTGGGCTATTTGAGACTTAAGATCTAAGGTCTCTAATGGGTCAATTGTTTTTACTTCCAAAATGAAGCCCTGGACTCCACATGGGGAGCTGGGTGGTTAGAATTTCTAATAAACTTCAGACATTAATCCAATGGATCCTGCACAGAAAAGAGAGCCAAACATGGTAAAACAGAAACACGAGCATGCAGCTTATGAGGAGAATTAAACAAGAAATTCAAACCAGCCTCTTTGTTAGCTTGTTCTAACTGGTTGAATTATGCAGCTAAGTTTTCTATACTATGTGTAAGCAAGTGTTGCCAAATCTCACCCCCCACCCCTCTTTTTTTTTCAACACACACACACACCTTTTGCAGTTGCATTTTATAACAACAAATATGCAAGTTAATTTAAATAGGGTTGAAATTCTTTGCTTTTATTTTAGACATCATTAACATTTTGGTGTGTCCCTTCCGTGACTTTCACATGTTAAACATTAATGGCTAATTTGAAGTCTATCTCGACACAGTCACATCTTACAGTCCTTTTTTT